ACGTTCAGTTTAGCATATGTAGCAGCTAAAGCAGTCAGAATCTCAAGCTCTTCCCATTCAGCCCTAAGCTTAGATTTTTGCTCCCCCAAAACCTGTCTTTGCTACAGTGTTGCTGCTTGTGTCATAAGCACAGCCTTTTCCAATTCTGCTTTAAAGTGTGCAGACGAAGCAGATGATGCTAAGGAATTACCAGAACTTACATTAGACATTTTGGATGTCCTAGATGCTGCAACTGATACGCTGTCTGAAGGGAGAACATTTTCATTGACTTTCCTTGCTTCCTGCATACGTCTATGGACATCTCTCAGCCATGTATCAACTTGTTCAATGAAATCCCTGAATAACTTTGCCTTTGGTTCAAACCAAGACTGCTGATCATTGCTCATGAGCCAACAACCAACTTGGTCTTGACCACCTCCAAACTGCCGTCATCAAATGAAGCATCTCATTCTTTTTCACTGTAAGCTGACCCAGTTTAACTTTCCTTGAAGCTATTGGCTGTAGGTTTCACTTACCGTTTTTTCACTGTGGCTGACTCTTTATCATCCTCCATAACTCCTTGATGTTCAGGATTATCCCTTTCCACTTGTTAGTGGCACTTAGGGTAGAGGGTCTGTAATATACTTACGTTAGCTCCTATAAAGGTATTCCAAAGTCCAAAGGCTCCAAGTTTCTTTCCAATCCAATGGCGTAGACCAGGCAGAGCAGGGTTTTATACCACAAAATGCAGCCTAGCTGATCGTCATGGCACACACGTGTCCCAACCGATGCAGTTCTCTAATTATCCACTTGACGTCAGATGTAAATTGGTATAATACACAGATTTTATTCACATTTTACACATGTCCACAAATTTTCTCTGCTGGATAATGTCAGTTACAACTCAGGACACAGTATAAAAACTGTGTGACCCCACAGCTAGTCTCTTTCTCTCTATCTGGTTCAACAGTTAACAGCCTAAAACTGAGCACGCCTCTCTTAAAGTCACAGTACACAATTACTAGAACAAAAATCAACAGCCTGTTATACACCCATAACAATAAACATAAACATATATAACTTCATCAAGTGCAATGCAAAACATTCTTATCTGTTATGATTAATTAACTTTTAAATATTTCTGTATTTTAATGGTTTTCAAAGTTTTAACTCAAAATATATATCTCACATAGTAAAAAGGGCACACAGTGTATGAATGAGTGTGAATGTTGGTTTCTGTTCGAGCACTTAGGCTCAGTGAATGAATGTGTGTGAATAGTGAATGCAGGACGGTCAGTGATTGACAGGCTGGATGAAGACTGATTCTCCTGAATTTATGCATGGTTCCATGATGATAGAGAAATATATAGAAATTGTTGGCAATAAAGCATGCTGTCAATATTTTAGAGACCCCCCAAAATGTCACAAATCATGCTTTTAGGGGAACTGATGTCTTTTTTAGGGGAGCTAAGCTCCCCCTGGCTCCCCCGTAGTTCGCACCCTGGAAGTCCACAGCAATGTGGGACCAATTTATCATTCCCTAAGCCTGAGTAAAGCTCCATTTGTCCTTTGTGAAGGCCTGGTCTGCTTCTAGAGTTCAGCAGCGACAGGTAGGGATCTCAGTGGAAGCAGCAATAGCACTGAGGTTTCCACTGAACCACTGGTGAACCCCCTTGAGCACTAATCCTATTTTACAGAGTTGGAATGAGGCCATTCCAAGACTGCATTCACCTCTTCTGGCTCCACACACAGTCAGAAAGCCATGAGGATGCATCACAGCCAGTATAGACAGCAGTATAACATTCTTTCAACCACTTTGGCTTGAGGGAGAGTTGTTGTCCAAAGATCTGTTCAGCACTGGACCGATGCTCAACATGCTCATGTTTGTTCTGGGAATATGCCCAGATGATGGCCATGAACACAAATACAAACCTTGGCATTTGCCATGCTGGAGAAAAGGAGTATTCACAGTGTCAACAGGAGTGATGTGTCTCTCCCTGAATTTGCACAAGGTTACTCATCCAGGGGAGGTGTGCTGATCTGTCTTGGTAAAAAGTGGCTCCCTGGAGATGCTCAAATGCAGACACCAGCAGTGGGAAAAGACATCGCTTTTAAATATTATGCAGGGGGCAATAATCAATACAGTGATGGACGTCGCCATCAATTATGCCTACAAAGTGAGATAGGTGAGCAAAAGAATTACATGCCAACAGCTTTTTGGGTATATACTTTCGGCTATCTTTAGGGAGAAGATGTGATGACAGTGGGGGCACAGAGAGCGAGAAGTTGAACATTACTTCCTAAAGACCTCATGCACTTCTTCGTGCTCTGGAGGAACACTGGTTCCTGACAGCTGTGGAAACCAGACCATGGGAGGCTTTCTGGACATGCTCTAACTGTTTCAATGAACACTTCTGCAGCTACCCAAAAGTCAATAAATATCCCTGGACCAGGAGATGCCTCGGGAAATGGAATAGATGAAATGATATTGTCTTCTGGTGACAACCCTCAAGGACCAACAAGTGGTGACCTGAACTGACACCAATGGACATTCATCAAGTGCAGTGACCTTAATGGCGCCCTCCAGACAGCAGAAGTGAATCCCCAACTCCCTGCTCAAGAATATGAGGCATTGTGGGCACCTGACCCAGTCATAGACCGTAGTATTAAGAGGATTGCAATCACACCAACTTATTAGTTAAACATGACATTATAGTAGAGTATGATCAATAGCTATATCACCTGTCCCACCAGAAACACTCACAAAGCCCCAAGAAAATCACTATTTAACATCTACATTAGGAATTAATTACAAGTTATACTATTTACAGTATGTAAGTATTCTGTCAGTGGTATATACTTTGATTATAAGACTGACTTGATGAGATTTATGTTGGTAGATGGTAGACAATGTGCTAAAATGTTTCCCTGTACCAAATGTGAAAATTTGCATTGTAATTTCAGCTCATTTTTGAAGCATTTATACTCTAGAGCAAATCTCATAGAAACTTTCCATCCTAACTCCTTATTCAAAAAACAAAGTGTTACACAATTGAAACCGTTATTTCAGTGATTTGAGTAAATTCCTCTGCTGGAAGTCCTCAGATTTCTTTTTTCTTGAGAATCTTCAAATGCTTGTGAGGGGTAAAAAGAGCACAGTGAATTCCTGGGAGGAAACGGCTGTCGACAGCCTGTCAAGTTCAAAGGCGTCTTCAGAGCGGGACATTACCTCTACTCCTAAAACAGTAAACAATGGAGTCAGACTCATTGTACGCATTAGCAAGCCACTAATGAAAGATGTGATCTATACAGAAATATGAATAAGCATGGAGATGTCACAGTGCTGCAACTCTGTCAGTCATTTTCTTTTATTTATGAAAACCAATTGAGAAACCAACCTCAGGGTAATGCAAATTGTTATTGTGAAAACAAAGCATTCAAAATGGCATAATTCTGAAGTCATTTGGGGAATCTGAAGAGTTTGAAATGGATCTAATGTTTTGCCATGAGCCATAAGCAGTTTAGACAGTAATGAATGATGTTGTTTGGTATTTTGTAGGAGTGATTGCAAGGTTTTGGATCTTGAACTGTTTATTGCAGAGGCTTATATAAGTCACATGAAAAAAGCAGCAGTCATTTCCCTTATTTTACTTTCTCCTACCTGCTTTTTCCTTTTTACCTCCTCTAAAGGAGATGGCAACCTTAAATAGTGGAATGCCACTTATGTTGAAGAAACAATGAATGAGAAACCAAAGAGTATTCCTCTATGTGGGTCTTATTACATACAACAAAAGAGGCTGCATTCAGTACTACTTTGAGGAAATTGCATACACTTATCAGATCTAGAGACATATAAATGTCTGATCAGCCCTTTAACTTGTTCAAAATTATCAACTTTTCTGATGAATGGAATTTTAACGGAAATTAATCACACTGTCAAGCTTTAGTAACAGCATTTATCTGTGTCTCCCATGATGACAATGTGTGTACAAAAAGTGACTGCAAGTAGGAAATTGATGTTACAAGTTAAACTACTGCATTTATTGCTGCTTGCTCAAAGGAATATTGCATGCATATATAGAGGCACTGTTAGTGACATTGAATTGTAACACCTTTTGCAAACTTGTGATTAAAGTAAATAATAACCGATAATAAGTGTCTAATTAAGGGAGCTTTGCTTACACTGTACCTCATATTCTGATATAAATAAGTCCTACTGCCCATAAAACCTGGTTGTCTGTGTGCCTAAAGCACGACTGTCCCTTGTTAAATGTAAAACAACGGATTCATCTACTGCCCACGGAAGTATCAAGTTGAAGTAGTGCTCTAACTGGCCCATAAATTATGAGCCAGGTGTTTGGTTTGTTTGCTCTTGTGTGCCGCTGGTGGAAGACATCGGGTGGCGCCTCCCTTCTCCTCCTCTCATCCCCTCCCTCCCTCCCTCTCACCGCTCCCTGGGGTGTGTCTATGGTAGCGCCTCTCCTTTCCACGCAGTGTTTATGTGTGTGTGCGCGCGCGCGTGTGTTTGTGTGCGTGGCGTGCGCTGCTGTTGCTGCCGCCTCCTCCCTCTGCTTCCTATCTGCATCTGCTGCAGAGCTTAGCCAACACGCATCTAATCTCTCTCTCTTGTTGTCCCTCTACTTACCTCTTTCTAGCCACCACAATCTTTCCTTTCTTTCTTTCTTTCTTTCTTTTTGTTGTTTGCTGATAAGGGAGTCAGCGCACACCTACACCCGTGGAGTCTGGAGGGAGACATGGGGCAGTCACTAGTCGTCACTTTGGAGTATTGAGGACGGCGGTGAACCGGAGGAGAGTGCCGGATGGGTTAGGAGCCGTGAAACCCACATCACTCACCGCGGATTGAGCAAGCAACCCCCTCCTCCCCCTCCCCGCCCTCCATCCTCTCTCTCCCTCTCTGTCTCACCCTAGTCTGCAGCCTCCAAGAACAGCCGCCGCATCATTTTTTCAGACCAGCAGACCCCCCCCCCCCCACCCCGTCCCTCCCTCCATTCTCACTCTTCTCTCCATCTCCCTTTCTGCTGCTTGCACCACTGTGGGAATGCAGCGAAGGTAAACGAATCGTAGATGCTTCTCTCTCCCCCCACCTTCTTCCATCACAAACACCGGATCTATCATCACAGTGACGGACTGCAGACCGACAGCTCTGGAGACAAACGGCTGTCACTCCGGGAAAATCAGAGTGAGGCGGTCGGCGTAGGAACTGGACCCGGATCACTTGGATTTAGCCCGCTAACCCGGACACCACCAACACCGCCCCATCTCATTGGCAGATCACATCAGATCCCCTGTGCCCTGCCTCGTTTCAGTTTCGGTGGCTTTCGCCGGCTCTCTCTCTTTACTGGATTACCGGCAGCTGGAGAGACCAAAAAAAGGGTGGCCGGGCATGGGGAACTGAGGGCTATCAAGAGGCAAACTTGAAGTAGCCGAGAAAGACACCTGCAAGAGAAAAGGAAGCTCTTTAATATGTATGAAAGGTAAAATTAACTCAAATGAAACCTAAGAGAATAAAGGAACAATCGGCGGTTTGTATTTTAAGGACCTTATGCGGCCGATAATCAGCCACTTGAGAGTAAAGAAGGGTGCTGCCGTAGCCTGGGTTGTTGATCTACGCACGCACACACGGACATGGATTTACAGCTCCGATCTGAAGCGGATCGATATCCTTTTCTGTTCTTTTTTTTTTACGTCGGCTTTTTTTAACAAAGGAGTGAAGCATCCTGGGATTTATCATCGCTTCGTTAGCTCTGAACTACAGTGAGGCGCCCCCTTGCTTCGCTCTTTCACCTGTCCATAACCTGTGTTCTTGTGTGTGTGGTAGACTGTATATTCCTGTGCATAATATGTGTGTCTATGTGTGTGTTTGGTTTGTTGTCCGCCAGAGGGAGTGTAGATTATATTGCTGGTGCATGCATTTGAGTGCTCTGCCAGCTTTTAATTGGTGACTGTGAGTGATTTGTGTCTGCTTATGCTTGTGGGTTCTTGTGCATCATTTCATGTTTTATGTTGCATATAGGCTAGGCATGTGGGTACTTATTTAAGATGCCCAGCATTTCTTCTGCACCACATCCCTTTCCTCGTATATGCCCTTGTATCATTTGGCCACCTGTTTGACCTTCTGTACAACCTAAGAGACGAAAAACCTCCGGCAGCAGGATGAGTGAGCGCTCAGGTGCAAGCACTCTAGCAGCCATGACGCTGGAGGAGCCAGGGGCTGAACAGGCATCTCCTAGAGCCCCGGGCCCTCTCCGCTGTGGCCCCTGTGCTGTGTGGCCTCGCCAACAGACCTGGCTGTGTGCCGTGCCCCTGGTAATGGGCTTTGTGGGACTGGGACTCAGTCTCATGCTGCTGAAATGGATTGTGGTGGGATCTGTCCAAGACTATGTCCCCACTGATCTTGTGGATCCCAAAGGTAGCATTGGACAGGACCCAATATTTCTCTCCAAACCCAGTGCCATGCCCAAGGGGCCTGACATTTCCACCGCCATTACTTCAGCGGCCTCTACCACAGCAATGGTGTCGACTACCACGCCACTAGCTGCGGATGGTACCGCCCCAGCGCCAAGAACTCGATCAGGGCCCCCAGCAAACCACTCAGCCAATGGCAGCACAGCCAATGGGCATGGCAACCGAGCCCCACACCTTCACAACCGGGTTGGCACCCGCATTAGTGGGACTGTGGTTACCACCTCCACCACTCGCGCCACCCGACTCACCCCGCCCAGTGGTAAGGAGGTCACCCCTCGCAGCACCGTTAGAAAAGGAAGCAGCACTAATGGACGTAACGGAGCCGCCAACTCAAAGCCAGGACAGACTTCTGCTACCATCACCACTACAGCATCCACAACAACAGCTAGTGTGAAGACCACTGCCAAGGTGCAGCCGACCACCTCCCAGCCGGCAGCCCCAGTCAAGCCCACGTCACGCTGGAATCACGGGCGCCCAGGCAAGGGCCCAGCCACGCGCCCACATCACCGCTTCCGAACACGTAAGTTCACTTTTTGGGTTTTTGGAGTTGTGTGAGTGAGTGTAGCTGTGCGAGGTTATCTGTTGGAACTTGAAATGAGTGTTTCACAAGAGCTCTTTCTGGGCCTTTAACAGTAATAATGGTATGTCATCACATACAACTGTATCCATGGTTAAAAAAAAAACAAAAAAAACTCTTTTGTCTGATATGCTTTGATATGACTCATGGTCTGAGAATATAAATGATTTCCTTTTATATCCACATGGATAGTGGATACTCCAGCAGCTTAACATTAATCGTATTCATTAGCACAGACAGATATCAGGGGATATTCTCAGTATTTTCACCCCTCTCGTCTTTATCTTTCACTTGTGCATTAATCCGATATGAATCTTACCTCCGGTGGAGTTTTTTTTCACACACTGGTTTAAGTACCGTTAAAGGCAGGGTTCCATCTAGAAGTATTTATTTAGTTTTGTCTGCCGGAGTTGGGATGTTAGAGCTTTGTGATGTGTTCTGTGACTAAGGCCAGCATATTTGTGTTATGAAAATAAATAACAGGAGCTGTTGAGGTTTCGAAGTGGGAGAAAGGTTAGCTCTCACCTCCTGTCTAGAGGAATCAGATATAGCAAGGCCACACGTCTCATTTAGATGAGAGGATACTGGGAGCAGAGTGTCGCAGGTACTGTTTTTACACTGCAGAGACAGAGAAGGCTCAGAGGGGTAAATAGATGAATGTGCGGATGAAAGCGAGGTTGCAAAGAACAAGTGGATATAGATGAGGCAGGAAATGGAGAAAAAGGAGGAGAAATACTTTGAAAAACAACATAAATCTGAAGAGGATGGCAAAGGAAGGAAGAGAATTCACAACAAAGCAGGGGAATGGAGAGTGGGAGCTGTGAGTAGATGGGAGAGAGAGATGGCAGATGGAGTGGGCTAAGTGAGGGAAAGGCTAGAGGGAGATTGAGGGTATAAAGCAGGGGATCTGTGAATTTTGCATATTTAGCATTGTGTAAAGAAGCAAGGCTTCCTGATTATTCATTCCACAAGGGGCATGTTTTTAACACCACAGGGTTTTTTTTTCAGACGTGGGTGGGGCAGGATGCAAGCGTAATCATGAGTACTGACAATGTAGAATGTTCTCAAACTCGAGGCAGTATTTTTTTTTTTTTAACCAAATTTCGTTGGAACCTGGGATTTAATTGACAGCTTTGATTTTAAAACTCACTTTTGGCTCATGATCATCTATATTTAGCTGTATTTCACTTAAGCTTCCTGTGGTTGTACCAATGCAACGGATCCAGTGACAAGCAAGTAGTGTGATCAACATTATTGTATTTATCATGGGAGTGAATTATGAAACACTTCCTCTTCGTTTTTTTTCAGTGAAGTGCTCTAGAGGCGAATGACAAAACGGTAATATGAAAACTGAAACCTTAATTTCTCCACATTGCTGGTATGGGTCATGTTTGGACAGCAGTTCCTGTTGAATACATAGTATCCTCTCATTTATCAGCTGGATGTGACAATGGCATCGATACCACAGGCAAACGGTAAACAAGTGACATTATTTTCTTCTTGTGTACCACAGGGCAAAATATTTTTAAACCGTATGAAAAAATGACTACCCAACTGAGGGAGGGCATTGGCTGTGGTCAGCTTAATTTCACCCAGTTATGGATTCCAATCATCACAAAAGTATAGAAATTCCCATAGACAGTCCTCAGACTCCTCCTGCAGCATAATCTGCTGCTCCAGAGTCAGTTACGTCACTTGACAAAGAGCTGCCGAACAGCTGAAAGCTGCCAAACCGGGCAGCCCCCCTTGTGTGAACATCAGGACGCATCTGTTTGTACTGTATGCTATAAAAGGGCACAGACTTCAAAAGCTGAAGCCTACTTAGTGAGGCTGTCCTCAGTTAATAAAAGCTTTCACATATACCAGTAATTTTCAGTGCAGGCTGATGTCGATAAGTCTCCAGCCTACATGTTGACATCATGCAGAGTGGGCTGACATCTTGGCCCACTTGTGGAATCTTAATTCTTTTATTTAGCAAATATCTGTCATGCAATAGATGGCACTTTACAGGCACCAAAACACATCTCTGCTAAGTTTCAAATCAATGGGGACAGATTTTTGCCAATATTTTAGTAAACTCTATGTTACCTAATGTAAACCAAATCTAAAAAAATGAGAGCCATCACCTTTCTTCCAATCCTTTGAACCTAGAATATAGAAAAACTAATGATGGCTGTAAACACTCAGCCTTTTTCTTGTTTGCCAAAGACATCACCATGGCAGCAACAATTATTCTAGCTCTTTGTTAAGCATGGGTAATAATTCATGTCAGTGTCTGTGATGAAAACCTTCCCGCATAAACAATAATATTTGTAGTTAGATCCTGGGGTTTTCCACCTGTCTGCATTATGTCATTTGAACAGCCAAAGACCTCACCAGGGTGTAATGGCAGTCTTACAGCTATTGCTGACCACCCATAAATGATGCTGATCAGTCTTATAGCAATTCCAAATTCAGAAAGGGATTTTATTTTTATTAGACTAAACGTTTGTGGAAGCAAATACCTATTTTGTAGGGAATGGCAAGTGGGAAGTAACTCACTATTTTAAATATCCATGGTAAAACGATACAAGGGTCTGACTGGATGTGGCTTTTTCAGTTCACATTTCACTAATGCAGTGTTTTATATATAGTACCTACGTGTAATAAAATTGCTGAGGCTCTTACTCAAGTACAGTCTATTCTCATGGCCTGGATCTGTGCATGAATGATTTGCTGTCTCCGACAAAATGTCACAGATGAAATCCTCGTATAGTCAGCTGGTTTCTTGATAAATAAACTGCAGACTTTAACTTGCACTTGCCATTTGAGGAGAGACATTTGATGTCACAGAAGAAGCATGGGTTTCAACATATTAACGAAAAGCATTACTGATTGAATTCACCACTTGAATTTGTTGCATTCACCTGTTTGTACGGGTCTTATTTTTTCATTTGTGCAGGACAGTATTCACTTAAAGTATCCGTGAATTTTTCGAATAAACAATAAACTATGAATCGAATGTAATTGTTAGTGTTAAGAGTGAACCCCTACCAGTGTCACTGCTTATTCTGTCAAGTCAAGGTTATGCTTTGTGTTAAATGTTAAATACTAGTTTTATTCACAACCCCTGTGTTATTCATATTTATTCACATAACCCCTGTGTATAGCATTCATGTGCAATATTACATGGCAACACTTAACACAGTAAAGGCAAAACACGGGCTAACTGCTGCGTTTCCAGAATGCTGCGTGGCTGCATCTAGCTTACTGTAACAGTATGTAGAGTTGTGCAATACAGCGTATTTAAAGTGTAATCATAAACAGAAAACGTCCCGGCTGATGATGTAATGCTCTGTAAAACATGACTTCAGGTGCATTAGTCAAGTGATGTCATATTTTATTTTAAGTAGTGTTCTAATCCAATTATACTGTATGGTGTCGAGTTTCAGATAATCTCAACATTATATAGGAGGCAGTGACCCCCCCACCCCCACCACCACACTCTACTCATTGCTATTGCTCCTGCTGTTTGGTGAAAATTTAAATGAATCTCTGTGTCCTGGAAGAAAGACGAGCTCTGTCCGTTGGGGATGATGGCATATTCTACCTACTTCTTTTGTCTCTTTTTCCACTCCTCTTCCACCCTCACTGTCCCCCTTTCCCAGTGGTTATTGTGTTCGCTCTCTATGTCATTGTATTTCTCCATCTATTTTTGCTTTGCTTTTGTGCTTTCTATCTTCCTTTTATACGTTAGCTGCTCAGCTCACATTCATGAGCATATGGGCAGACGCAGAGAAACTGGCACACTTCTGAACACAAAGTCAAGCACAGAGCGTGTGTGTGTGCCCATACTTATGCATCTATCATCTGGTTTTCTCTATCTGAGGCTATTATGTATCTGACTCCACTCTCTACATACAAGCCCCATTGGCTCAGAAGTGGGGAAATAACAGGCGAATGGAGCAGTGCACAATGAATGCCTGTTGGGAAACCATGGGACGCTGTGTTGGCTCAGGGCCCATTCCACTCTCTTCTTGGTTGTAAGAAGTCTTCCTATGCGACGTGTGGTTGTAATTCCATGCACATCTCACTAGCCTGATTCCAGACTTGTGAATCGCCAGCCACATTGAAAGTCAAGCGATTCAAAGGTCTGCTGTTGTTCCTCAATTGAATCAGTGGCTGTGGAGTCTCATTTTGGAGAATTCATCTGTGCAAGAGCTAGACACAGCTATCAAGGCCTCTGTAAATCATCTGACTGAAACAACAGCCATTAAATCAGACCAGCTGTGCACTGAAGGCATTTTTTTAAAGATGAAAAAGTGTTGTTGCTGTTCTCCCCATGGGTTTAATTTATCATTTGGCTTCTTTGGCCATTAAGAAAATGGAACGGGAGGGTTCAGTGCTTATAGGTAGACCTACATCTTTGATCCACTTGTGCAAAGGTTAGTTTTTGGGTTTTCAGTGAGTTTTTTTATCTTATAAAATCATGTTACAGCTTACTTCTGTTAGACCCCGCTAATGCAGAGTCTGTGTCACCTAAAAAAGGATGTCAAGCAGATGGATACTTCAGTTACAGTGATTGTCAGGGCAAGATAAACTTTCTCTCAAACAGCGTAACAAAATGCCATTGTCAAACTGAATACTTGGGCAGTAACAAAATGGCATTTGAATTACAGGCGAGTATCATACTGTTGTTGCCAGTCAGATGTTGTGCCACAGCTGATCTTTTTTTTTTTTCAGATAGGAAAACACAGGAGAGCAACACAGAGGACCCTTTTCTTTGATGTCATGGAAAAAATGAACAGAAATGATTTTTCCTGACACGCAAGCCCCTGTTTTTATTGTTTTGTTTGTTTTTTCCCCACTATACATGAAGCCTGCACAAAGTACTACTGTAGGACCAGTGGAGCGTGTAAGGGGGATTAAAAACAAAGATATAAATCCAGTTTGCCTCTCTCTCT